CTCTACATCTGCTACTTTATTCTCGTCCTGCACCTAGGTTCATCAGAACCAATTTTTAAAAATTTTAGATTCCATATATATGTGTTAGCATATGATATTTGTCTTTCTCTTCCTGACTTACTGACTCTGAATGACAGACTCTAGGTCCATCCACCTCACTACAAATAACTCAATATCGTTTCTTTTTATGGCTGAGTAATAGTCCATTGTACATATCTCTACATCTTCTTTATCCATTCATCTGTCGACAGACACTTAAATTGCTTCCATGTCCTGGCTATTGTAAATAATGCTGCAATGAATATTGTGGTACATGACTCTTTTTGAATCATGGTTTTCTCAGGGATATGCCCAGGAGTGGGATTGCTTGGTCATATGGTAGTTCTACTTTTAGTTGTTTAAGGAACCTCCATACTGTTCTCCATAGTGGCTGTATCAATTTACATTCCCACCAACAGTGCAAGAGGGTTCCCTTTTCTCCACACCCTCTCCAGCATTTATTGTTTGTAGACTTTTTGATGATGGCTATTCTGACTGGCGTGAGGTGATACCTCATTGTAGTTTTGATTTGCATTTGTCTAATGATTAGTGATGTTGGGTATTCTTTCATCTGTTTGTTGGCCATCTGTATATCTTCTTCAGAGAAATGTCTATTTAGGTCTTCTGCCCGTTTTTGGATTGGGTTATTTGTTTTTTTGATATTGAGCTGCATGAGCTGCTTGTAAATTTTGGAGATTAATCCTTTGTCAGTTGCTTTGTTTGCAAATATTTTCTCCCATTCTGAGGGTTGTCTTTTCGTCTTGTTTATGGTTTCTGTTGCTGTGCAAAAGGTTTTAAGTTTTATTAGGTCCTATTTGTTTATTTTTGTTTTTATATCCATTTCTCTAGGAGGTAGACCTAAAAAGATCTTGCTGTGATTTATGTCAAAGAGTGTTCTTCCTGTGTTTTCCTCTAAGAGTTTTATAGTGTCTGGCCTTACATTTAGGTCTTTAATCCATTTTGAGTTTATTTTTGTGTATGGTGTTAGGAAGTGTTCTAATTTCATTTTTTTATACGTAGCTGTCAGGTTTTCCCAGCACCACTTCCTGAAGAGGCTGTATTTTCTCTATTATATCTTCTTGCCTCCTTTATCAAATATAAGATGACCATATGTGCGTGGGGTTCTCTCTGGACTTTCTATCCTGTTCCATTGATCTATATTTCTGTTTTTGTGCCAGTACCATACTGTCTTGATTACTGTAGCTTTGTAGTGTAGTCTGAACTCAGGGAGCCTGATTTCTCCAGCACGATTTTTCTTTCTCAAGATTGCTTTGGCTATTCGGGGTCTTTTGTGTTTCCATACAAATTGTGAAATTTTTTGTTCTAGTTCTGTGAAAAATGCCATTGGTAGTTTGATAGGGATTGCACTGAATCTGTAGATTGCTTTGGGTAGTAGAGTCATTTTCACAATGTTGATTCTTCCAATCCAAGAACATGGTATATCTCTCCATCTGTTTGTATCATCTTTAATTTCTTTCATCAGTGTTTTACATTTTTCTGCAGGCAGGTCTTTTGTCTCCTTATGTAGGTTTATTCCTAGGTATTTTATTCTTTTTGTTGCAGTGGTTAATGGCAGTATTTCCTTAATTTCTGTTTCAGATTTTTCATCATTGGTGTATAGGAAAGCAAGAGGTTTCTGTGCATTAATTTTGTATCCTGCTACTCTACCAAATTCATCCATTAGCTCTAGTGGTTTTCTGGTTGCATCTTTAGGATTCTCTGTGTATAGTACCATGTCATCTGCAAACAGTGACGTTTTACTTCCTTCCTGAATTAGATTCCTTTTATTTCTTTTTCTTCTCTGATTGCTGTGGCTAAAACTTCCAAAACTATGTTGAATAAGAGTGGTGAGAGTGGGCAACCTTGTCTTGTTCCTGTTCTTAGAGGAAATGCTTTCAGTTTTTCACCATTCAGAACGATGTTGGCTGTGGGCTTGTCATATATGGTCTTTATTATGTTGAGGTAGGTTCCCTCTATGCCACTCTCTAGAGAGTTTTTTATCATAAATGGGTGTTGAATTTTGTCAAAAGCTTTTTCTGCATCTATTGAGATGATCATATGGTTTTTCTCCTTCAGTTTGTTAATATGTTTTATCACATTAATTAATTTGCGTATATTGAAGAATCCTTGAATTCCTGGGATAAACCCCACTTGATCATGGTGTAGGATCCTTTTAATGTGTTGTTGGATTCTGTTTCCTAGTATTTTGTTGAGGATTTTTGCATGTATGCTCATCATTGATATTGGCCTGCAATTTTCTTTTTTTGTGACATCTTTGTCTGGTTTTGGTATCAGGGTGATGGTGGCCCTGTAGAATGAGTTTTGGTGTGTTCCTCCCTCTGCTCTATTTTGGAAGAATTTGAGAAGTATAGGTGTTAGCTCTTCTCTAAATGTTTGGTAGAATTCACCTGTGAAGCCATTTGGTCCTGGGCTTTTGTTTGCTGGAAGATTTTTCATCACAGTTTCAATTTCAGTGCTTATGATTGGTCTGTTTATATTTTCTATTTCTTCCTTGTTCAGTCTTAGAATGTTGTGCTTTTCTAAGAATTTGTCCATTTCTTCCAGATTGTCCATTTTATTAGCTTATAGTTGCTTGCAGTAATCTCTCATGATCCTTTGTATTTCTGCAGTGTCAGTTGTTACTTCTTCTTTTTCATTTCTAATTCTATTGATTTGAGTCTTCTCCCTTTTTTTGTTGATGAGGCTGGCTAATGGTTTATCAATTTTGTTTATCTTCTCAAAGAACCAGGTTTTAGTTTCATTGATCTTTGCTGTTGTTTCCTTCATGTCTTTTTACTTCATTTCTGATCTGACCTTTATGATTTCTTTCCTTCTTCTAACTTTTGGAGCTTTTTTGTTCTTCGTACTGTAGTTGCTTTAGGTGTAAGGTTAGCTTGTTTATTTCTGATGTTTCTTGTTTTTTGTGTTAGGATTGTATTGCTATAAACTTCCCTCTTAGAACTGCTTTTGCTGCATCCCATAGGTTTTGGGTCGTCGTATTTTCATTGTCATTTGTTTCTAGGTATATTTTGATTTCCTCTTTTATTTCTTCAGTGATCTCTGGGTTATTAAATAGTGTATTGTCTAGCCTCCCTGTGTTTGTATTCTTTACATATTTTTTCCTGTGATTGATATCCAGTCTCATAGTGCTGTGGTCGCAAAAGATACCTGATATGATTTCAATTTTCTTAAATTTACCAAGGCTTGATTTGTGACCCAAGATATGATCTATCCTGGTGAATGTTCCATGAGCACTTGAGAAAAAAGTGTATTCTGTTGTTTTTGGATGGAATGTCATATAAGCATCAATTAAGTCCAACTTGTTTAATGTTATTTAAAGCTTGTGTTTCCTTATTTATTTTCATTTTGGATGATGTGTCTATTGGTGACAGTGAGGTGTTAATGCCCCCTGCTATTACTGTGTTACTGTTGATTTCCCTTTTATGGCTGTTAGCATTTGCCTTATGTATTGAGGTGCTCCTACGCTGGGTTCATTAATAGTTACAATTGTTATATCTTCTTCTTGTATTGATACCTTGATCATTTTGTAGTGTCCTTCTTTGTCTCTTGTAATAGTCTTTATTTTAAAGTCTCTTTTGTTTGATATGAGAATTGCTACTCCAGCTTCTTTTGATTTCCATTTGCATGGAATATCTTTTTCCATCCCTTCCCTTTCAGTCTGTATATGTCCCTAGGTCTGAAGTGGGTCTCTTGCAGACAGCATATGTATAGGTTTTGTTTTTGTATCCATTCAGCCAGTCTATGTCTTTTGGTTGGAGCATTTAATCCATTTACATTTAAGGTAATTATCGATATGTGTGTTCCTATTACCATTTTCTTAGTTGTTTGGGGTTTGTTTTTGTAGGTCTTTTCCTTCTCTTTTGTTTCCTACCTAGAGAAGTTCCTTTAGCATTTGTTGTAAAGCTGGTTTGGTGGTGCTGAATTCTCTTAACTTTTGCTTGTCTGTAAAGGGTTTAATTTCTCCGTCAAATCTGAAAGAGCTCCATAACTTGAAGGTTGATTACTTGGATTTGAATCCCAGTTTTAATGTTACATGATCTAGAGTAAATCAGTTCATTTTTTCTTTTTTCTCTTATAGTAGAATGGAAGTAATAATTATGCCCACTTAACTTACTTCTTCTGGTTGCTGGGAGGCGATCTAAGAAAATGAATTGTGCAGTGCTTTATAGACTTTAATTCTATACAGACAGTAGTATTCTTCCTTATCCTCCTCTCAAAGTAATTTATAGATGAGTTTTTATCTTACCAGTACTGCCTTGTTTAAGGATCTACTCTGTAAGAAAAGGAAAATAGTATTAACTAAAGAATATTTAATTTTCATAATAAGTCTGTGATTTAGAAATTATTATTAACATTTTACGGTTAAAGAAAGAGGCTTAGAGAAGTTAAGTAACTTTCTCAATATCAATAATTTTATAAGTATTTGCTCCCTGGTTTCTCTGACTTCAGTGCTCATGTTTTTTTCTTTCACAAACTAATGTAGTTTGTTAATATACTGCAACCTGTTCCAACATTCCTTTGTTCATCATGCCTAATTTTGAAACTTCTTGACATTTCAGTCATTCTTGTTCTTTTAATTGGAGTTCATTTATTTCATGCATTTGGCAATTATTTATTGCCAGGTACTATGCTAAACACTCTCAGTTTTTGATCTTAGTTTAGTCTTTATTTTGAACAGAAGAAGACAAGTTTAAAATAGTGACACTTGCTCCTATTGTTCCCCCTATATTAGGGGGAAATACAAGTTGCTTTGGGAAGTCAGGGAAGTCTTCACAGAGGAAGTGATACCTAAGCCTGTGCTCTAACATTAACTTTTTATAGAATACAGATGGCCTCTGCCATTATGTCTTTTGTTTTTGTTGTACCATCAGATTCATACTGAGCCACTCATCGTAGGGTGAATAGTCAAATTACTCTTACATGTTCTTGTTATTTTCCAGCTTGTCCAGATTATTATCAATACAACACACTTGGAGAAATCCTGTAAGTACTTGGAAGAATTCATCACCAATATCACTAATGTGCTTCCAGAGACAGTCCACACCACCAAACTGTATGGCACCACGACTTTTAAGGTGAGAAAGCCCTACATTACTGTAGAAGTGCTTCTGGTGTGCTGGGGCATTCTACCTAACATGACTTTGTTTCTCCCATAAGTCATATATGGTCTTCCTTAGAAAAAGGATTTGATTATGATTTCCTTAGGAAAACAAATTTCAGTGCTAATTTTGGGGTGTTTAAACTAAAAATGGTCTACAGCTGTGTCCACTAAATCTTCCTTATATTTCATTCATGAAAATGACTGTTTCCTCATTTGACCACCTGACAGGCAAGTATTTTAAAATATGGTCTAGAAAAGAGTGGTTGCAGCTGAAATCAACAGCAATTTAAAAATTTTAATTTAGCTATCCTTTCTTTTCTGTGTCCTGGGTCCAGTTTTTTTTTCTTTTAACTTTACATTTCATTGTGGAATTTCTGTCCCTTGCTATTGTAGTTAGCAATTTTATAATCATCTTACAAGGCCACAGGACTAGTTTTGATGCAGTGTTGGATTAAATGAAAAAATGACGCTCTTATAGAGCAAAAGAAGACTTGATGGTAGATGAGTTTCTGGAGAGTAAAGAGCCTTAGGAAACTCATTTATATTGCCATGTGAGCTTTAAATAAATATTAAGCAGGGCAATATCTTAAACTAAAATGGTAGATTGGGTTTCACTATGACTTAAGGTACAGCAACCAGAACACAGTCCATCAAAGAAAATACTGATAAGATGGACTTCATTAAAATGAAAAACTTCTGCTGTAGAAAAGACACTGTTAAAAGAATGAAAAGAAGGAGAAAATGTTTGTAAAATGCATATCTAATAAAGGACATATCCAAAATATACAAAGAATGGGTAAAAGTCAACAATAAGAAAATTAAAAAGTGGGTTTAATGTGGGCTCACTTTAAAAATGGGCAAAAGATCTGAATAGATACCACACCTAAGGATGGAGAGGGAGTTATAAGTTAAAACAACAGTGATACCATTGTACAACTCTTAAAAAGACTAAAACTGAAAACACTGACAACAAATGCTGGAGCAATAGCAGCTCTCATTCATTGCTGGTGCTAATACAAAATGGTAATGTTATTTTGGAAGACAGTTTGTCAGTTTCTTACAAGGCTAAACAGAAATAGTCTTCCCATGCAATTCACCAGTCATGCGTCTTGGTAACTATCCAAGTGAATTGAAATGTTAAGCTACACAAAAACTTACACATAAATCATTACAGTAGCATTATTCAAAATTGACTACACTTAGAAGCTATCAATATGTCCTTCAATAGGTAAATGGATAAACAAACTATGATACATCCTGACAATGGAATATTATTCAGTGATGAAAAGGAATGAATATCAAGCCATAGAAAGACATGGAGGAAAATTAACTGCACATTGCTAAGTAAAATAAGCCAATCAGCTACATACATGGTTCCCAGTATAAGACATTGTAGAAAGGCAAAGTTCTGGAGAAAGTAAAAAGATGGTTTGTTTCCAGGATTTGGGGGATGAGCAAGGGAGGGATGGATAGAGTAGAGTGGATTTTTATGACAAGAAAACTATTCTGTACGATTCTGTAATAGTGAATACATGACATTATCCATTTGTAAGTACCCATGGAACTGTACAACACAAATAGTAAACCCTGATGCAAACTGTGAACTTTAGTTAATAATAAAATATCAATATCAGTTCATCTATTGTAACAAATGTTCCACACTAATGCAAGGTTTTTTAAATAGGGGAAACAGTGGGAAGGGGATGGCGGGCAGTATCTGGAAATGCTCTGTACTTTCTGCTCAATTTTTCTTTAAGCCCAGATTTCTAGAAAATAATGTTTATTAATTAAAAGAAAACTTAGTAAAATGGGAATTCAAGGACAATATTAAATTATCATACAAGTAAGTAAATATGTAAGCAGAGAAATGCTCTTAGAACTGTGTTCATATAAGTAAACATAGTCAATGCCTATATTATAGTATGTAAATACCTGTAAAATTATGCAGCCATTAAAAAGGTGAAAATGGAGAGGCGGGTATGAGTTCGAGTAAAGTTTTGGGGGTAGAATTTATAGGACACCGTGCCTATGAAGGAATGAATGGAATCTAATATGTTGCTTAAATCTCTGCCTTGGCCTGAAATGAACAGATGAAGAGTGGGAATTATGATTATTCTTGTCCTGGACTTACAATATTCAAAGTTTCTGTGAGCCATAATGCAGGAAACAATCAGAAATATGGGTCTTTAAGAAGAAAGGGTTTGGACAGATATAGTGGAAGCCATAGGAGGTGATGAAATCATCCAGCGGAAGTGAGAGGATTAGAGGCCAGAAAAGTAAAAGTAAAACTATGTCCTGAAAGCCAACAGAGAACAGGGTAAGATGAGACTGAAAAATGGATATTGGATATGGTAGCCTGGCGGTCATGGATTACCCTGGACCAGTCCATGTTGATGGATTGTTAGATTGCAGCGTAGACTGTTTTCTCCTAAAAATGTTTTTCTTGGAGCTTTAGTCCCATAACACTTCTTAGAGCCTTTTATATGCCAGTGTAAATCAAGACTCTTTTAAACTGGGGTTCTCAGACTTAATTGATCTAGGAACTTTTTTGCTGTCATTTAAGCATTTTTCAGGACTGTTGTTAATTAGAGCATATTTTAGGAAATGTGTGCCAATCTTTGAAGAAACTTGTTATAAAGAATCTAGAAAGGTAGGATAGTAACTAGTGGGAACATACAGCATTAAATTAGAAACTTCAGGATACTTAAAATAAGCAAAGTGAAGAGACTAGCAACTATAAGAGAGGTTGATATTGCAGGAAGGGAGGTTCTTGGAATTCCAGAAGAGAAGAAAGAGAACAGGATCCTGAGAATGAGTGTAGTTTTAAACATAGGTAAGAAGGTACAGGATGCAGATAGCTGAGGGCAGTGAAGGCAGTTTCTCTATTTGGTGAATCAATATAATAATTTGTCTTGCAGATACAAAATAGAAAGGACTCTACTGAGCTTTTGAAAACAAGAAAAATTAATGGAGACTGTGATATTACTTGATATTCTCAATTATGTTACTTAGTTTGAGATGTCTCCAAGCAGAGATTTCTGCTTTGCTTATACTGGAATTTTGAATGACTATTCAAATTTCGTATTTCACAGGATGCCAGACATGCAGCTGAAGAAGAGATTTATACCAACTTAAACCAGAAGATTGACCAGTTTCTACAGCTGGCTGACTATGACTGGATGACAGGAGATTTGGGCAACAAAGCTAGTGATTACCTAGTAGACCTCATTGCCTTTCTCCGTAGCACCTTTGCTGTCTTCACACACCTTCCTGTAAGTGACCATTGCTTTTACTTTGTCCATCATATAGAAAAAAGGTTTCTTAAAATCTAGATTGGTAAAATATGTTTGTTTCTGCTTTAACTAGCCAGAAAGCTGTGGATATAAAAGCTCACACTATAATTATCATCCCTTAACAAGATTTAAAGACCTCTTTCTCATTTTCTCATTGACATTTGCATTTTGTTTATTCTGGAAATGGTTCCTAATATTATGCTACTTATATCCCTCCTAACTTCAAGGTAATTAGTACAAACATATAATGAATGCCTTGGTAGAAGTAGAATAGAAAATTAGGAGTTAGAATTTTAGATATGTATTTTTTAATTCTAGAATGTCCATTTAAATTTTTTTATATCCTCAAATTTCTGGTGAAATTCTCCATCCTTTTTCCAATTTGTCTATCTTTTCTCTATTTTCTTGAGCATATTTATCACAGACTTTTAAAAATTGAAGTATAGTTGATTTACAATATTATATTAGGGACTTCCCTGGCAGTCCAGTGGTTACGACTCTGTGCTCCCAATTCAAGGGACATGGGTTTGATCCCTCGTCAGGGAACTAAAATCCCGAATGCCTCACGGTGCAGCCAAAAAAAAAAGTTACAATATTATATTAGTTTCAGGTGTACAGCATAGTGATTCAGTATTTTTACAGATTTTACTCCAGTAAAAGTTATTATGAGATAATGGCTATAATTCCATGTGCTATATGATATATCCTTGTTGCTTATCTATTTTATACATAGTAGTTTTGTATCTCTTAATCCCTTTCTCCTGTCTTGCCTCTCCCTCTTTCCCTCTTTTCTGTTGTTTCTTGATCTTTATTTTATTTATTTCCTCTCTAATCTTTATTATTTCCTTCCTTCTGATGACTTTGGCCTTTGTCTTTTTCTAATTTCTTTAAGTGGTTGGTTAGGTACTTTATTTGAGGTTTTACGTATTTCTTGAGGAAGGCCTGTATTGCTATAAACTTCCCCCTTAGAACTGCTTTTGCTGCACCTCATAGATTTTGGAGTGTTGTGTTTCCTTTTTCCTTTGTCTCAACGTATTTTCTGATTTCCTCTTTGATTTCTTCATTGACCAGGTGGTTTTTTAGTAGCATGTTGTTTAGTCTCCACATGTTCATGCTTTTCCCCATTTTTCTTCCTGTAATTGAGTTCTAATTTTATACCATTGTAGTGGGGGAAAATGCTTGATATTAATATCTATCTCCTTAAATTTGTTCAGCCTTATTTTGTGGCCCAGTGTGTGATCTGTCCTGGAGAATGTTCCATGTGCACTTGAAAGGAATGTGTATTCTGCTGTTTTTGGATGAAATGTCCTGTAGATATCTTTTAAGTTTAACTGTTCAAGTGTGTCATTTAAGACCACTGTTATATGATTGATTTTCTGTCTGGATCATATGTTCATTGATGTAAGTGAGGTATGAAAGTTCCCTATTGTTATGGTATTGTCATCAATTTCTCCCTCTATGTCTGTGAATATTTGCTTTATATATTTAGGTGCCCCTAATATTACACTGAGTGTAATATCCTTGTCTTGTATTGATCCCTTTATCATCATATAATGCCCTTCTTTGTCTTTTGTGATAGCTTTGTTTGAAAGTCTATTTTGTCTGAAGCGAGTATTGTTACCCCGGCTTTCTTATTGTTCCCATTTGCGTAAAATATCTTTTTTCATTTCCTCACCTTCTTTGTGTATGTGAGTTTCTTAGGCGACATATAGGAGGGTCTTGTTTTTTCATTTAATCAGCCACCCTGTGTCCTTTGAGGGAGCATTTGTCCATTGATATTTAAAGTAATTATTAATAGGTATGTACTTATTGCCATTTTGTCACTTATTTTCTGCTTGTTCATGTAGTTCTTCTCTGTTCATTTTTTCTTCTCTTTGTTTCTTCCCTTGTGGTTTTGTTGATTTTCTTTAGTAGTATATACCAGAGAACTCCTAGATGTTTTCATTTTTTACAATTTGCTCTTTTCTTTTGCTGTTCTGATTGGGTGATTTACATTATTCTACCAGATCACTTATGCATTCTTCTGTATCACTTAGTTTGCTATTCATTCCTCCTAGTGTGCTTTTAATTTCAGCTGTTGAATTCTTCATTTCTGATCGGGTCTTTTAAAATACTTTCTAGTTTCTTATTAAAGTTATTAGTGTATAGATAGATTCTTTCCCCTAATTCAGTTAACATTTTTTATAACCAATGGTTTGAATTCTTCTTCAGGTAAATCGTTTATTTATGTTTCATTTTTTTTTCAGCTGTTTTTTCTTGCTCTTTCAATTGAGAACAGTTCTTCTGCCATTGCATTTTGCTTAACTTTCTCTGTTTCTATGAGTTTAGGTGAAACAGTTACCTATTGTGGTCTTGAAGGGGTGTTCTTATGTGGCAGCATCCCTATGTGTGCCCAGTGCCTTTGGTGGGAGAGCTGGATTTGGTGTGGAAACAAGTCACATCTTTCGTCAGGATGTGCTGGTAGCTATCAGCTTGGTAGGGAGTGGGGCTAGAGATGGAGGAGCTAGAGCTGGCACCAGGTGTGAAGTGGGACTTCCCCTCTGCTCAATGGCCATGACCACCCTATGAGGGGTGGGGTCTGATCCCAAATTCCTGGAGCAGAAGCCATGAGGGTCTGGCCTGGGCCAGCTCTGTTCCCTTTGTGCTTCCCCCTTTTTCCACACTGAGAGCCTTGCCCAAGTGGCAGGAAGTGCTGAAGTAAGTTGGGTCCATAGGGTCTCTTGGCCTGTGTTGATTGCAGACAGAGGTTCAAGCTGTCTCTGATACACTGCCTGTATAGGTTCCCACAATTGTTTCCCTCATAGCTGGTTACTGCCCCCGTCCCTGCTGCCCCTGCCCTGTTGTGGAACCACACTATAGAGCTGTTGTTGTCTATGTGGACTTTCAGTATCAGGAGTTGAGCTATGTTCGAGTGCTGCCATCAGAGATTTGGGCTGCTTGTGATGTTCTGCTTGAGTAAGCATTAACAATGACCCCAATCCCACCCAGGCTCCGCCCAAAGACCAGGTTGTCTCTGCATCCCAAGATCGAGTTTTCTCCCTGGTCATGACCACCCCAGATTTAATGCCCTGCTGCGACATGGAGTGAGCAGCACTGGTGCATTGGCTCGGCTCAGGCTGAGGCACGCACTGAGGCGGTTGTGGGAAACCTGGCAGCCACTAGAGCAGAACTCTTTCCACCCTGCCTTGAGGGCAACCCAGCACTCATGTGCTCTTCATGAGCAGTGTTCAGGCTTCCCACTACCCCCCTGTTAGTCCCAGTGGTCCTCCAACCAGCCAAGGAGTCTTGTCTCTCCTGCACAGGACCCCAGACTTGGGCATCCAATCTGTGGCTCTCACCACTCACTCCCCAGGGCAGGTGTCCACCCATGTATTCTTCCTGTTACTCTGAGTCACCTCCCAGGAACACAGGGCCCAACCCGGTCACGTTCTTCCCATTCTGCCTGACTACCTGTGTATCTTTCTTACAGCCTTGTTTGTACCGGATTCCTTCTGCCAGTTTCCAGTTAGTTTTCAGTGAGAATTGTTCAACATTTAGATGTATTTTGATGAGTTCATGGGGAAATGTGAGCTCCATGTCCTCTTAATCCACTATCCTGATCCTCCTCTACAGTTCTTTTAAAGACATTTATTAATGCCTATGTGTAGTTCACCTACATATTGGTTCGATTTGTTTCTGAGGTTTTGGTTTTTCGGTTTTTTTGCTGTTGTTTTCAGTCATATGGTCCTATCTCTTCCTACCATTTTTTGGTATATATTAGACATTGTCTTTAAAATATGTAGAGGTTCCAAATGATATCAACAGCCACCAGAATCAATTCATCCTTTCCCTTACTAAGTAGCTAGAATGAGTGGGTGGGTTGTGGTTTGGGCCTTATCATCTTAATCCAATCATGGATTGATCAGGGTTGAGCTTGGGTTGCAGTTGTAATGTACCTTTGGTTTACCTTTTTAAAATTTAATTTAATTTAATTTTTTAACATCTTTATTGGAGTATAATTGCTTTACAATGGTGTGTTAGTTTCTGCTGTATAACAAAGTGAATCAGCTATACATATACATATATCCCCATATCTCTTCCCTCTTGCATCTCCCTCCCTCCCACCCTCCCTGTGCCACCCCTCTAGGGGGTCACAAAGCACCAAGCTGATCTCCCTGTGCTATGCAGCTGCTTCCCACTAGATATCAGCTTTACATTTGGTAGTGTATATATATCCATGCCACTCTCTCACTTTGTCCCAGCTTCCCCTTCCCCTTCCTCATGTCTTCAAGTCCATTGTCTAGTAGGTCTGCGTGTTTATTCCTGTCTTGCCCCTAGGTTCTTCATGATCTTTTTTTTTTTTTTTAGATTCTATATATATGTGTTACCATATGGTATTTGTTTTTCTCTTTCTGACTTACTTCACTCTGTATGACGGACTCTAGGTCCATCCACCTCACTACAAATAACTCAATTTCGTTTCCTTTTATGGCTGAATTATATTCCATTGTATATATGTGCCATATCTTTTTTATCTATTCATCTGTCAATGGACACTTAGGTTGCTTCCATGTCCTGGCTATTGTAAATAGAGCTGCAATGAACATTGTGGTTCATGACTCTTTTTGAATTATGGTTTTCCCAGGGATATGCCCAGTAGTTGGATTGCTGGGTCATATGGTAGTTTTATTTTTAGTTTTTTAAGGAGCCTCCATACTGTTCTCCATAGTGGCTGTATCAATTTACATTCCCACCAACAGTGCAAGAGGGTTCCCTTTTCTCCACACCCTCTCCAGCATTTATTGTTTGTAGACTTTTTGATGATGACTATTCTGACTGGTGTGAGGTGATACCTCATTGTAGTTTTGATTTGCATTTCTCTTATGATTAATGGTGTTGAGCATTCTTTCATGTGTTTGTTGGGAATATGTATATCTTCTTTGGAGAAATGTCTATTTAGGTCTTCTGCCCATTTTTGGATTGGGTTGTTTTTTTGATAT